CCGCGGCCCCCTCCGGACAGACGCCGGGATCCGGCGCGCCAGGAGGCCAGGCCGCAACGTCTCAGGTGCAGAGGCGGCGACAGGCCTGCATAGCACAGAGCCCTCCCGAGCCTCTCGGCAGCTCTGGAGGGGTTTGTACGCATCTGAGTCACATCGTCGTGAAGAATCACCTTTGTGACTCAGATTTCCTATGAACACACTGCCTTCACAGAAACAAGTACAACAAACAAAGAAACAGTTGGCAGTGTAAGGACAATCTTCTCAGCTGAAGGGCTGTTCACATCGAAGCCTTTATCTCCCCAAGGGGCGCTGAGAACCAGCACAGAAGGCAAACTGCATAAAGCTTTCCCGACAAACACAAGTCAGGGATAAAGGGTTCAATATGCAAAGTCTTTTATTTAAAATTTTGAAAAGTTAAGACTTCCGACCACCTCAGTCTGCACCATCATGAGGAGGGATGGCGCTTCGAACGCGGGCAGAGCTGCGTGTTCCTCGACAGAACTCTGTAGGCACTTTAGAAGTGAAGCCTGGCTTCAAAATACAAACACTGGGGGCTTTGGCTCAACCTTTTAATATAAAAAATTCACCGATGTACAAAAATGCGGAAGTGTGACAATGACAACATGAAACCCTGTGACTGAGAGTCCCCTCGAGCGCATGCCGCGTTGCACACGCGCCCGCCCACAGACTCTGGCGTGGAAACATAAACTAACGCAAACCAGCTCTACCAAGAAGGGCCAGCTTGTGTGCGCTCCGCTCCGCTCCCAGACCAACAGCAACTCCAAACATCAGTAACAAAAAGTGGGGCATCTCCCAGGGACAGCAAGGCAGCTTCTTACTCACGATGAACCAGCACAAATAAGCCCAGCAGAAAGAGCACGGCGTACTGCAAAAGAAACGCAGGGCAGTCAGGGCCGGCTACTCAGCTCTCCAACTAGTCTTCTATCTTTTACATGTAATCCATTTAACAGTTTCCAAAATTTAGCGAAAGATCACTTCTTAGTGAAGCATGAAGTATAGGATCTTACCTTAAATTTAGGATAGTCATTCATGAGGATTGTCACAATTCCAATATAAGGAACGAATCTAAACAAAGAAACAAAAAAACTGATCGTCACAGAACTTCCGAAGTAGCTATTATCATTTACTGAACATTCGCAGGATCTTCCACAGAAAACGAATGTTCAGCTCACAAAGTCTGCTCGTACGTGCCGTCCTCCTGTCCGACCCCCCGGACGGCCCGGCGCGAGGGGAGTTAGGACTATCACCATTTTATAGATGAGGAAACAGGCTGAGCCCGTGGCACGGGCCTCTGAGCGGTAGACCCAGTTCCAGATCCGAGGTCCTGGGCCTCTGTCTGGTGACTCGTTCTAGCTGCTGACTCAGTGCTGGGGGCGGGGTTGTCGTCATGACCTTCGGGGAGCTATCAATCTAGTTGGGGAGACAAGGCAGACAGAGCCAGAACATTACAAGGTACTTCATGCTAAGTGTCCAAAAAGTGGGAATGAGAGCCCTATTCCAGCACTGACGGTTTCCTCGCCCTCTCACTCACTAACCACCTGCCGCCTGGCCGGCTCTGCTCCCATCGTCCTTTATTCCGCAGCTTCGAACTCCCATGACCGCAAACCTGCCTGTGAAATCCCTTTCTCCTTGGTTCTGCAACAGGTGACAAACCGACTTCCCCACCCACCTCTGGGCTGCTGCAGCCTTGTGTTTTTCACTAGTTCTTTCTTTCCTCTTGCCCTTAAGTTTGTCCCCTCAAACCAGGTAAAACCACCTGTTCAATAATTTCCTAGCACCTGACATACGCCCTCTGAAGTCTTCACTCCCAGCTTTAATGACACAGTCAGATGGATAACTAGCTGCGCAGCGCCTGTCCCTCCTCGTGTACTCCAAGCTCTAGACGGGCAAAAACGATGCCAATCTTGCTCCCCACAGAGCCTCAAGGCCAAACACAACACCTCGCACACAGCAGGTACTGCCTGACTGAATGTTTGAATGTCCAGGCCTCTTGTTTCCTCCTTCCCTTGGGGATCTCATTGTCTCCCAGGAATTCAACTCTCCCCTCAATGCAAAAGACTCCTCCACATCCTAAGAACTCAGGGGAGAAAGAGAAAGTTAGCACGGTTCCTTCACGTGGGAGGAAACTGCACTGGACTTGGATGGACTGGGTGATACTGCCCTTGACCCCGTCCTGGAGAGGCGAGGTCGGGCTGAAGGAAAAAATGACCTTCGCACGCATTCGAACGGCCCAGACACTTTTACCCTGAACATCTACAACCTCTGAATCACTGCAAAGGTGCGCAAACAGAAATTACCTCCCACATAACACCTCCACCACCAGAGCCCTAGGCAAATCTGAAAAACAGGTATTTTGTCTTCGGTACATTTCACTTCTTTTTAACAACTCCTTCTGCTTCCTGCCTCCAGTCCTCACCCTGTCCTGCCCCTCTCCCTCCTGGCAGCGTGGCCCAGTCCCATTTCTCTCCCCTCACCCCCCAATTCCCACTCTGGAAGTTGAAGTTCCTTAAAACCTAGACCTCCTTTGTCAGAATCCCTTGCATAGCTTGTTACGGATGCAGATCACTGTACTGGCCCTGGATTTACTGAGTCAGAGCATCTCTGGAAGGTGGGGCCCAAATGACGTCCCTGCACACTGAGGTACATGCAGCACAGATCTAGCATGTGACACGCATGGAACAGACATGTGGTGGCAGACAGTATCCCCTCACAAGGCCCACACTTTGGTTTCTACCCCTGGGACCTTTAAGAGCTGAAAATAACAGTCACCACAGACTGGCACAGCCAAGAAAGGAGGGCAGAGAGATGTTCTCTAGATCTTTAATACACACTTTTCTTTTTCATGTGGTAACTCTTTAATGTAATCTCATTTGTCTCATTTATAACACCTTCATAAAAGCAACAGTATTCAATAAAGGTAATTCACCTAATGTAAGAATGTGAAAGCAAAGAAAAAGCCTGATGGTAAAATGCAGATTCGAAGATACAAAAGCACCCATAATTTCTATGAAGACAGTATCAAGCTGCCGATTCTGACCTGATGATCAGCCCGCAGCAACTCTCACGGGCAGAGACCTTCGCTGTTCCCTCCTTACAAGCATATTTAAGCTCAGGGACCGCAGCCGTTGGCTCCCAGCAGTCACGCAGTCCGTCTGAGGTCTCCACGGACACACTGGTCCCTGAGGTTCGCTTTTCCTTGCCACCATGAGTGCAATGATCTTTGGCAGTAACAGAAGCAAAAGCTAAGACAACGTCTGGCAGGCAGTCCACAGCCCCACGACAGACTCAGTGACTGGCGCCGCCACTTCCCTCCACGGACAGAGACGGACCGAGTACATGAGCCTCTGTCCTCAGTCACCTCCCAGCCAGTCAGATGCCACCCCCCCCACCCCCCGCTGCCCTGCGCAGGTGAAGCCTGCGAACGCAGAGCTGGTGAGGAGCAGAAGGGTTCGCGTAAGTGAACCGAATGCTGCCCACACGGCCACCCCCAACAGTGGCCCGCGCCCAGTCCCCTTCTAGGAGGTGGAATGAGAGCACACACGCGTCCTGGGGGTCTGGGTCGCAGTGCTGCTGAGGGCGTGCGGCAGGACGTCCTTCTGTCAAGAGTTAAAGGGATTTGCATCTGGGAAGCCTGCACCCCAACACCTGCCTTAAAAAGGATCATTGTTTCTACCCCAAAATAACCTCTTCAAGGTAAGTAAAGAGAATATTTCAAAATCCTCATCTGTAAAACTGATTTCGGCCAACACAGAGCTCGACTACGTCTCCCCTTCTGTATTTTTTTTATTCCCCCCTTCCATGTCCACGGCCCTCTCTCCCCTGATCCACCAGCTTTCATTCTCTTCTCCCGCTGCTGCCAACTCTTCTTTGACTAACAGGTCCTCTCGCGTTTCTCAACTCCCTGAATTTAGAAAGGATCACCCCTAGTACTTAGTTGGTTCAGTGTTAGCTTCATTTTCTAAAACTGTTTCCCTTACATGCAACAACATGAATGAACCTTGAAAATCTTGTGCGACGTGAAAGCAGCCAGCCATAAATGACCACAGAGCGTGAGATTCCGATACTGCAAACTGTCCAGGCCAGGCAACGATCTCCAGAGACAGAGGCAGACGGGGGTCCCAGGGGCTGCAGGGAAGGGGTGGGCAGTGACTGCAAATGAGCACCGAGTTTCCCTTCTGGGCTGTGGGGACTTCTGGGGCTACACAGCGGTGGCGGTAGCACACACCTCATGAATACGATAAACCCTGACGAACTGTACACTTTAAAATGGTGAATTTCACATTCCAATACATGTGAATCATATTTAAACAAAGGTGTTTTTTTTTTTATACTTGTTTTATTGAGGGCCTTAGGCCTCCGTGTAAAATTTTTTAGTGTGCAGGCAGGCAGCTGTTTGAAAAGAATTTTTAAATGCACACGGATATTTGTCCCACAGTTACAGCATGATCTGCGAGAAAGCTTTACTCTCAAGGTCTGGGTACAGTCTGACTTTGAAATATCAGTTTAGGGCTTTATAAACACAATTTCCACGAAAAGAGGTGAGGCGCCCCATTGTGCGTCAAGGAAAGCGGCGGTCCGTCAGTGGAAAGTGGATTTGCGCAGTTAACATCTGTGCCCTGCGGCTCGGGCCCGGATGCTGGCACCGCACGGAGAGCCGCTCATTTCAGAAAGCACCAGGCTACTCCATCCTCTACAACAAGGTCTGTATCTTCAATATGGAATTAGAAATAACACTGTATATAGCTTATGATTTTTCAAAAACTTGTCAGAAGACAAGTTACTTCAGTGCAAACCTCTCCCCTTCACAGAGTGATGCATCTTGTGCCCAAACAGGGGCCCGAGTGAGCAGACAGAGCAGCACCGAACACCCAATGATCAACATCCAGATAAGGGCACCCTCTGCAATGCTGGAAGGAGCATAAATAAAACACTAGGGCAAAAATCTGCCAAAAGCCTTTGTGCCGCCCAGTAATTCCACTTCTAAGAATCTACGGAAGAAATGACTGGGCAAAAGAACAGAAATATATGTAACGATGTTCATCCTAACACTGTTCATAATTTAAAAAAAATGAAAACAATCAGCTCCGACTGGTGTGGCTCAGTTGGTTGGGCATCATCCCTCAAAGTAACAGGTCGCTGGTTCAATTCCCCATTGGGGCACAGGCCTGGGTTGCAGGTTTGGTCCCAGGTTGGGGCATGCACGAGAGGCAACTGATCAATGTTTCTCTCTCACATCACTATTTCTCTCCTTCTCCTTCTCCCTCCCTGTCTGTCTAAAAATAAAGAAAAAAAGAAAGAAAACAATCAAAGCATCTAACAAAAGGGGACTGTCTAAATAAAAATGTGGTCTGTCCATACAGTGAAACAGCATACGGCTTTGAAAATGATGATATTGAGATAAATCTTTTGATTTGTAAAGATACTGATAACCTTGGAGGACGAAGAAGAGGCTATAAATTGGGACCATTCTTTCCCTCTACACAAAACGTTTATTATGTAAACACGCATCTATACATTAACAAACACATCATTATACATAAAGGCTATCACAGCATACACCAAAAAGTTAAATATTTATGGAGGGGAAGCAGAAGAAGACTTTGCTTTTTGATGACTGTTATTTCCTTATGTTTCTAAGTTAATCTGTACAGTTAAAATTAAAAACAAAAGGACTCCAAGAAGCTGATGAGTTTGAATGACCGTAATAGCAGCATCCTGGGAGCTGAGAGAGATGGGGAAACAGATTTCCCAGAAACACTGATGGTCTAATTTGGGTGATAAAGGCATGCCTGGCTCCATCACAGGAAAGGAAGTTCTCCCGAACTGGCAGCACGCCCAGCAAGACCCCAGGTGTGCGGGAGGCAAAGCACAGGGCTCTCATTCTCATCAGCTCTCTGGCCCCAAACTGAGCCTCTCTCATGCAGTCACTGTGGCCGCTTTCACTTAGTAACTCGCACACTCTTCTCTACGGGAACCGAGTTCCTTGGTGTGGTGGCCTGCGCGCCACAGCAGCGATTTTCAGCTGGTGGGCTGCACAAATGTTTAAAACATGCAATACCTGACTCTTCAGTCGGGCACTGACCTCTTCTCCCTTAGAGGTCAAATTTTAAAAAAATGATAATAAACACAACAAGAGCTATCCAATGTGAATGAATCAAAAGTATACCTATTTTCTTTTGTCAGATTGGCAAAAAATCTGTTTTTTCATGTGACACAGACTTTTAGTGATTAGTTTATGTGCCATGAAATGATATTAGTTTATGTGCCATGAGAGAAATCACCTGAGTCCACATTGTCCGTTCTAGGCCCGCGGGAAGAGTGCCGTGTGGCATCTGAGGCGCGAGAACCAGCAGCTCCCCGTTCCGGAGCTGCTGAGCCTGCGACAGGGGAGCGACGGCTGAGGAAGCGGGCTCCGGGGCAGCCAGCCACTTACCATTGGCGCGACCTCAGACAAGCAACCTAAATCGCCTGTGTTTCCTCATCTATAGAATGGAAATGTTAGGGTTGTTTTGAAGTTAAAAAGAAGTAATACTTATAAAGCACTTTGAATGAGCTGCTAGCACAGGGTAAATGCTAATGGATGTCAGTTATTGTTAACACTATTAATACATGAAGGCAGTTAGGATCCCACACTTCCTCATACCGATCACTTACAATTCCTGTCCTCCACTCATCTGTTCTCCTGATAAAATCTGAAACAAACAGGCTTAATATAACTTTTAAATTTCATGTGACCTCAGTCAATTTCAAGACTAGAAATAAAACAGTATGAAGTAAATTAATACGATCAAATTAACTGGGATGAACATTTTCAGCTGCTGACTCCGTAAGCACTTAAGAAGCGGAAGGTCCACGAAGCAGGGCTGGAACCGCCCGGCTCCCAGGGCTGGCTGGGCACCGGCACTGGCGTGCACGGGGGGTGTCCAGTAACATTTCTTGACTGAATTAAATGAACAAATGAATTTCTAACACTGTCACTCCAATTCATCACCTCATCACTAATAGTGCTTTGCTGTACTTCCTCGCCTCCCCTCTGGAGCCGTATATCTCAAGTTTTGGATGCATTTTAAGAAGCCTACTTTTTCAAAGGACACGAGGTGATTGGGCAGAGCCAGGACCCAACCATTATGTCCAACTGCGTGAGATCAGACGATATGACTGAGCGGGCCATGTTCCAAGGGACGTGAAAAACTTAGCAAACGCTCCCCTCTGTGCTTACCCCCTTGCTCTCCCCACGACGTCTTTTTTCTCTAGCCAGTGTTGTCCTTGCTTATAGAGGCCTCGGTCATCCACTGCGTTATTGTCTCCTTTGGTCAAAAACTTGATATGTCCATTTTGCCTTACAAAAGAGTAAGAGAAGAAATCCATGTCATTAAATACCTTGATGTCATTCGAAAGCATAAAATTTGCTCTTGTTAACCAAAAATTCCTGTGGAACTGTGGTATTTTCATACCGTTCCCAAGATCAAAATAATTATTTGTTTAGCTAAAAGAATGTTAACAGTTATGTAGCTTTATAACAGGGAAAAACTGGAAAAAAGCCAAAAGTCTAACACTCAGGAGTCGAGATCCTAAGCAAGCACTAAGGACATGTTACAGAAGACTAAGGACATGGGAAGATCATACACATTGTATTAAGCAAAGGAAAGTTTACAAAATAGCATGCAGTATAATCACCTTTTTATATTAAAATAAACACAAGCTACCAAGTTTTTTTTAAATACAGAGAGCAAAGGAACACTAATATTAAACTACCCCACAGGATATAAGAGGCAAAATGAAGGTTATGTAAAACTACAGAGTGACCCAATTTCTTCAACCAGTAAGTTGCAAAGAACAAAAAAAGTTGGAAAAGTAATTTATGTATTAAATAAAAGAGACTATAAAGCCGTATCAACCAACTGCGACTGAGGACCTTGTCTGAATCTGAATTGAAACTAACCGTTAAAAAAAGCTCAGTGATTATGTTTCATAGACATTTACCAAAATATGTACATATGACATGATATTTATGATTTGATTCAAAATAATACAGGCAGAAGAGGGGAAAAGGTGGTACTGTAGGTGGGACAGACTTGCCATACATGAATAATTGCTGGGACTGGGTAGTAGGTACATGGAAGTTCACTGTCTTGTCTACTTTTTGCAAGTTAGAAATTCTCCATATTTAAAAGTTAGCAAAAATCATAGTATCTTTCTTAATCAGAAACATACTAGGTTAATTCTTCTAAAGAATCATGCGGTTTCTAGTAATTTTAAATTTCAATCGAAAGCAAAGTACATTTTACAGTTGATGAAAACTATCTTAAAACTGCCCTGGCTGGTGTGGCCAATGGACTGGGTGCTGTGCTGTGAACCAAAAAGTCAGCAGTTTGATTCCCAGTCAGGGCACATGCCTGGGCTGCAGGCCAGGTCCCCAGCTGGGGGTGTGCAAGAGGCAATCAACTGATGTATCTCTCACACACGGATGTTTCTCTCCCTCTATTTCTCACTCCCTTCCCCTTTCTCTAAAGATAAATAAATAAAATCTTAAAAAAAACCTATCTTACAATTAATTCAAGTGAGTTGGGTTAACCACAGCTAAATCTGCAGATAAAACTAAATTGGGAGGTGTTGCAAACGCCAAAAACAGCTAGGTGCAAACAGTCACATTAAAAGTAAGATTCCAATAAGAAAAAAATGCAGAGAAAAATAATCTGCAGCTCACAACTAAGTGAAAACAAGAGTCTGAAAAACGCTGGAGGGCAAAGAGGGCAAAGAGGGCAAAGAGGGCAGGGGCGGAGGCCGCCCGCCGCCCGCCTGCCAGTTGGGAGCAGTAGGAGGCAAGAGCCAAGTCAACCGCGAACACACCGAACACAAGGCAGCCACAGAGGGTCAGGGAAATAACGTCCAACAGAAGACAACGACGGGGAATGGGGAACTCCCCGGGAACGGAAAGGGACCCTGCGGGAGATCTGGACTGTTCCAAGAGGCTTGATTTGTCAGCCGACCAAACGCGCCCAATCTACCCCCTCCTCCACACCAATAGGCTCAGAAGACACCACTATAGGAAAAAGCCAAGGTCTCCTTTATCTGCTTCATAGTGTAACCAATATTCTCCGGTGGCACCCGGCCCTTATTAGACCTACTCCAGCCCCTCACAACTCATAGGCCCAAAATGCTGACTGACCACATTCCCCCTGCTAGCACAGGGGCCAAATATTTAATAGGATCTACCTCTAAGGACCTCAGCACGCTTACAGTTTAATTTAGCCATCATAATACTGTGATGGGAGCAAAGCAGAAGTAACCACTTTATAGGTGGTTGAATATAAACTGTGTAGTAAATTTATAAAACAAAAAGAGAATTACCCCAAATATAACATTATCTCTGGGTGCTAGGATTACATGTGATTTTGTTTTCTGTATGTTCCAATTTCATGCAGCATCACGTGTAACAATACACATGTAATGAGAATGTTCCTAAGATGGAGAAATATGAATAAAAGAGCTTTATGTGATATTTACAGACTGACAAAGGAAACTTATACAAGGAGTGGGTAGAGGAGGAAAGGAAGGGAAAACAGAAGAGAGAGGTCAGTTGAACAATTCCTACCTCTCGTTTCCGTAAAGCTCAGGGTTTTATTTCTGAAAGAAATGAACAGTGCAAAAACGAGCCTGAAAACACACGAGACTGGCTGGCTACAACACTCAATCCATTTTGGTGGTTATTTGGTCCCATATTTAAAAACAATGTTAATATCATTAAGTCAGATGATTATTACAACCAGGTATTTTAGTTTCTCTGAAAGAAAAAAGGAAATTGGAACTTCGGAATATCAGTAACAGTCCTGCAGGTTGAAAGCATCTCAAGAGTTGAAAATAAATCACCAAAACCCTGGACTGCAAAGTACCATACATCTTAAAATATTCAAATTTCTGTTTAAAAATTACTTTCAAAACTTAAGGGATCTGCAGTTGACATAACAGTTGTCCATGACACTGCCCTAAAACAAGATGAACTAATTTAAAAAAACCTCACTGGACTGCAAAGGATCACACATAAAAGTGGACAATTTCTGCTCTCCCTGAAGCACAGTCTGGATTTAATTTGATTTCCCTGATAAATGCAGGGGAGGTTGGCTCTGCTTTGTCCACACAGGGAATGCTGAGAACAAACAACACAAAATCACTTGAAGAATCTGGAAAACGCTACCCGTGCTGAATAAACCTTCACAACTCCTTCCTAGTCAACAGTAGAATGCCATTTTCAAATTATCTCTTTCAAAATATGTACTCGAGTCAGAAGAAACAGAGCGGGCAGATCTCTACTTCACCAGTGAAGAAAACTCTCCTAAACTAGGCGCTTTACAGAGATTTTCAAAAGCAGCAACCGACAGTGGCCTCTCCTTGAGGTGGAGAAGGCGGGCTGCCTTAGAGGCGGGCGGGGCGGGGCAGTGCTCATCCGGGGGCCGCGGGGCCGTAGGGGGTCCGTAGGGGGTCCGTAGGGGCTCCGTAGGCGTAGGCGCGGGAAGCCCAGTGCCCCCGGCTCACTTCCCCGCTGAGCAGGACGCCTGCTTCACCCTCAGTTTCCTCTTCTCCTTCCTTTCTCGAAGTTTCCCTAGTCTAGAAAGGCCGTAGATTTGAAGGGCGGGGCTGAGGATTATGTAGCTGGACAGGGAAGCACAGGCTTAAAACTCAGGGATCCCTTAATTCCTTTTTCTAAACTGCTTTATATTACAAATAAGGAAACTGAGGCCCAGGGAGGTGAGGTTTTTTGGCTCACTCTCATGCTCCCCACCCCCGCAGGGGACTCTGAAGCTGTTACATATATCCCTTCTAATTCTAAAATGCAAGAGTCTATGTTTAAGAGAATAACTTAGGTTTTAGAAATTTTCTTTGGGATTTGAAAAAATCGGTGAATTTATTCTTATTTGAAATGTCTGTTCGATTGCCTTAAAAGTTCGTTGCTTTTTAAAAAATATTCAGGCTCCCTCATCCATTATATCAGAAGATTCTAATACATTTGGGCCCTGACTGGTGAGGCTTAGTGGGTGGGGTTGTCCCACAAACCAGAAGCCACTGGTTAGATTCCTGGACAAGACACAGGCCTCGGTTGCGGCCAGGTGCCAGGCTGGGGGCTTGCAAGGGGCAGCTGATCAGTATTTCTCTCCCTCTCTTTCTTCTCCCTTCTCCTCTCCCTAAAATACATATAAATAAAATCTTGTGTTTTTTTTTTTAAAAAGAAGATTCTATTTGGGATCAACCTTTACGTCATTTGTGGGGGGGCGGGTATCTATATTATGCACACACACATACACAAACAGTACGCTATTCTTGTGGCCTTTGTCCTTAATACGGACAACTAACGTCACAAAAAGTGACAACTGTGTCCCTCCATCCCCTCAGAGGCTCCGGAACCATTCCGGAAGGAAGAGGCATGTGAGATGACAAGAGCTGACCACGAGGTGGGGAATGTTAGGCAGAATGGTTCTGGCGCTTGACGTAACCAATGCCATTGTAAGCAAGTTGCTTTGAGTGACCTGAAGGCCCGTATCACCTGAGAGGAATGTTCCTACACAGGTAAACAGGCTCATTAAGTTGTTTATTGTTTTGGAATATACAGAGTTACTGATCTGGTTGGGAAGCAGAAGAGAACCAAGAAAAAGGTCCAGAAAAACCTTTAGGGAAATAAATGAATTAATAAGTAACAATTTTGTTTTCAAATTTCACCAAGCCTTCAGGCATTCATAAAAATGAACTGGAAGAAGGACCTAGGAGTTTCCCAACCTTCCTTAATCTTTAGCCTATCAAACTAAATACTGTAAACAGCAAAACATAAAAACATTTTAAAACAGGAAACATATAGTTTGCACATACTTTTCATGAATCTTCAAGACTCGGTGAACTATAGGAATCTCTCTTCCTTCTATTCTAAAAACAACGATTTCTCCCACTCGTATGGGATCTTCAACTCGATTTGTGAGGAAGAGGAGGTCTCCTCTGTGAAATGCAGGTTCCATGCTGCCGCTGGGGGTGGGAGGAAGAACATAACAGCAAAGAGAAAGCCTGAGATTAAATTTACTCTCAAAATTAGATATTCAAAAAAACAATCAAAAGTATCACCTTTGAAGTATACTCTATACTTTAACAAATATAATGACAACATAAAATGTAGGCTGTTTAAAAATTACTTTCAAAACTTCAACAAAACCATCAAAGGTATCACCTTTCAAGAGAACAATCAAAAGTATCACCTTTGAAATATACTCTATACCTTAACAAATATAACGACAACATAAATGTATACTGTTCTAAAAATATGGTTTCTTCAGAGTAATGACTTATACAAGTTTTTTTTTCCGCTATTGGCATTCATTAACTAGTTCCATTTCAAGCATTGCTATTCAAAGGAGCTTAAATTTTTGAAAAGGGCAATGTTACTAATTCTTTAACCTTTTAAAATTTCAAGTGACAAACAGAATATTAAAGAATGAACTTTATAATCACTGCCCTTATTCTCGCTTCATCGGAAAACACTAAACGTATTAAAATATTCAAATGAGAACCGGATCATCCTCTCCTGCCATTTATAAAGATACAGACCAAGATGACCTTATGATTCCATGCCATGAAGAAGGGAGAACAGCTCTTCCAGTCAAAGAACAGTCAGCTACTGAGATAATGCTTGTGTTATAAATTTATTTATTTTAAAAAGAGAAACAAGAAAGCAAGCCAAGGACAAAAGCAGAGATTTTTGCCTAAGAGATTCAGAAAAGAGCAAAGGACACAAATCCACGGTAATTAGTGCGGACAGACTTCTCACTTCTCACGTGTTCTACCTGATGCCAAGTGCTTCAAAGGTCCTAACACATTTGTACTAATTAATGAACCTTTTCTTTCTATTAAGAAGTAGCCCATCAGTAATATTTTCAGAAACTCAAGCTCCAGTTTTCAGTAACAACAGGTTTAGTAAGAAGAAAATGGATAGACAGGGAATAAAATGAAGACAGGAATAACAACAAAGCCCAAACACTTCGGCTTGGAGGCCCTGGGCCCTGTCCGTAGGGAGACGGGGAATCGGGGGGGCCTGGAGTTACACATCCTGAAAATGGTAAAGGCAAAGCTTGACCCAAGGTAGGCAAACAGAACCCACTCTCACTGTGCTACATCGTTTCCAAGCCACTCTAGAATTTTTAACAGGAAGTATCATAATAATATTGGCATTTAAGAAACATCACTTCAGAAGCTATAGACTGTAGAGAAGACATTTACATATTTATTGAATTAATGAGTAAAGTGGGACAGATGAAAAGGTAGACTGGGAGACCAGTTGTCCAGGCCATTACTTATACTTGAACACTTGACAAATACTAAAAGTGTTATTTAAAAAATGGACACAGGAGAATAAATAAGGGGGAAAATACAGAGAAAACGATGTCTATACAGCGTTACCTCAATTATGTAAGAAATAATATACATGAAAAAAGAGACGAAACCGTTAACAATGACGATTATCCCAGAACTCTGGGTGACGTAGTTTCACCCAGATTTTTATGTTTTCAATATTTCATATAATGAAAATATACTAACTTTTTTCCTGATCAAAAAAGCATTTTTTTAAAGGTCACTCCAACGGCCCAGGCAGGAAGCGCCGAGGGCCTGAAATAGAACAGCAGCGGGGGGACAACTAAACACGGCAGAACCGAGACGGGCAAAGAGCACATCTGACGGCCAGCTGGCTCCGCCGCGGCGACTCCCAGGCTCTCCACACTGAGCAGATGGCAGCGACGGTCCAGAAGGAGGAGGAGAAAGAACAGGTTTGTGAGGAAAGATGAATTTCACTTTTATTACGTGGATTTCAAGTGCCTGGTTGACATGCACATGCAGAAGTCCAGCGTGTGGTAAAAACAAGAGTCTAGACCAGGGAAGAAAGGTAGATGAGAAATAAAAAGATTTAAGAATTCAGATATAGATGGCAATTAAACATGGATAAAGTAAGAGGGCCATTAAAGAAATAAACCAGGAAACTTTTTGAACTTTAAATAAAATTATTAGTAACCTTAACACTATCTGACCAAACTATACTTTTAAATTTAAACATCAATCATGATAAACTTGTAAGACACTATATATACATCACTTAAACATTTTTAAATTGACATCAGCTCTGTAAAGGGAAAAGTTCTGAATGCTCCCTGAAACGTCAGTTAATAAAATAAAGAGGAAGAAAGTATTTGTCTTCACCCCCAAAGGCTTCGCAACAGTCCTACGAGCGACCCCTCCGCTGGCCCCAGCTCTCCCACGAGCCGCCTTTCTCCAAGGACGGCTCCTCCTGCCCGTCCCGGCCAGGCTCTCCTCTGGTGGGGCCTGGTCACTTTTAATGGCTTTTCTTTATTCCACACTGGCAATCAGAAAAGCTCAGTACATAAATATACCACGTAAGTTACCCAAACACCCCTTGGAAGCCCCAGCTGATCATACAAATTTTCCAGCTCTAGCAAAATGGGCTCTTTTCAGACCCACCAATGAGCATGTCCTCAGTCTAATCCCCTACTCACTCCAACATCTGGATTTAAAGGTCATTAGATTGTCATTAAACACCGCCACTGAAGGAAACTCAATCTGAAGTGATCCCCGAAGAACCGCCACAGGAAGCCTGCCCGGGCCTCCCGCTCCTCCCCCGCAGTGTCCGGCAGGGCGGCCCCCGCTCAGCGTTTGCACAGCTCACCAGCGGACGCGCGCTGCTGCGCTCAGGACTGTCCGGAACGGAGGGCCACGTGACTGCAGATCTGGAGAGGTCCTCTGACATAACCTAGTTCTAGCCTTCTGGTGTTTGGCCCGCATTGTACAGGTGAAACTATGGTTCAGTGAATACATGACTTGCCCACGGTTGTAGTTAGACACGAAAGAGACAGATCCGAGTCTCTATACTCCCAGAGCAGTACATTAAATACTTTCCCAGCTAATAAAATCCATACATTTCTTTGGATTGCTAAAGTTACAGTTGCATTTGATTATTAATAAAAACAGAAGTAAGGTAAACAGAATACGTGAGACACTGGAGACCTAGTGCTTCCCATCACTTGTTGCTGGAAGTGTACCTTATATGACAACGAGGGAATCAATTCCCTCTTGGTAAAAGCAATATACTATGAACCAGACTTGAGATAATGTTAATGATTTGGTTTATTTTATGTTTACACTCCATTAGCTTCAGAAAAGACTTGGGAGAGCTTATATAATTAAGCCCAAATTAAGGCAGAACTATAATGATTCAATTAAGTAACCAAGTTGTAATTCTCCAAAAATGAGCAAGTTAGGTTTTTAAAGTACTAAGAGTAGGAATATAAGGAGGAGGAAGCAAGTACACTGGAGAAAAAATTCAGTGCTACAAGTATTTGTCACTTTAAGAGATGGCATTAGTATATTCAATATTCCTGAAGTCTATTTAGAAGTGATATTTAAAGGTCAGCAGGAAACATGAAAATAATTAGTGATGCTTTTGTACTCAAACTGAGAACATGCTGCCCAAAAACTCTTGATTTGGAGTTAATATGTAATTTAGCAAACTCACAACTAAATATCAGCCCTAATGTATCAAAGGGAAGAGTATAAGAAGACATTTCAGAAAATAAAGTATGTCTTCAGAAATGTGCTGAAAATAAAGCTCACAGAGGAGCGGTCCTAAGCCCCTTTGGGGTCTGAACGTAAAGGGTCTGACCTGTTGAGAATTTCTCACAACTGAAAAACAGCAATTACATTTCTTCCAGGCCCTCGTCTCGGAAGGAGCGGTTTGTACAGGAATGATACAACAATTATTCAACATTGCAATTTTTTTCGCAAGCAGTGCCTCGCAATCCCCTGCCTGAAAACAGCGACTCTTACCTGAGCACCACTACAATTGGACTTTCACTTCCAGTTATGACCATTAACCCCTTCCAGATCATCAGCGCCGAGGAGACGATCATCCCAAAGTTTAGGACTTGATAATAGAGCTGTGAGAACAAAGGAGGAGAGGTTAGTGCAGGTCTGCTTTCAGCCTTCTGGGAGAGCACGTGCCCGCAGAGGCCATTTTCAAGTTTCAAGTCGCACCCTTAGCGCAGCTGAAGGTGGGAGACAGTCTTTCAACTTCCCTAACACTCATGCCATCAGCATCCTAGAACATCCCTCTCTCTCACCCCAAGTACCAGCTCTGTTTTGTCTGCTGAAGTACATTGCATTTATACAACTTACTGTTTCCAGAACTTTTCACAGAAGGTATTTCATTTGGACTTCACAACCATTCAGTTCAGATTCAATCACATTCATCATATACACCAGCCAACAGTGGAAAACCTCTGCTTCCACACTCCTCTAGTCCTTCCAGTTCTACCTCTATCCCTTGATAATCACAGGCTCTTTAATGACATTTAATCCCACCCCTCACTTTACAGTTGAGGAGAGAGAGGAAGTGACTTCATCAAAGCCATACAACTGGTCAGTCAGAGAGCTAGGACGGGAAGGGCAGCCTTCTTTCTGCCTTAATACACTTCCACTACGTGACAAATATAAAAGTCTATGACTTGAGTAAATAGTACTAGAAAGGCCTGTCAAGCAAGGCAAAGAATGCGAGCCAAGTGTGTTGGCCTAGGCCGGACGACGGGCGACGGGCGAAGGCAGCGAGGCTCGGCTCCTGGCACTCGGCTCAGGGAGGAACAGGCGGGGCTGGAGGTGCCAAGGAGACAGGCAAAGGCACATCGGGCCCAGAGCCTGGAGAACCTTGAACGCATCATTTTAAATGTGAACCTGAAAAGACATGCTTGAAATGCTTTAAAGTAAGAAAACAAAACTTTCAAAAATATGTACCATGTAAGTTCACTTTCATTATTTTAAAAATACATGTGCATGTGGACAACCTATAAGACAACTGTTCTGGTCTTCAAAAACTCAGTGTCATGAAAATAAACATGCAACACTGTTCTAGATGAAGAGGACTAAAGACATACAACTGAGGACAGAAATTTCAGCAAAATAACAGTGACAGTAATTTTAAATACTGCCATTTAACAGGCCATATCTGAAAGTTATATCTGTTCATTTATCTTAGCTTTCACGTATGACAATTACATTTCTACTCTTGTAAGAGATATCTCAAGTTCAACACATAGGGTATTTTCACAGAAGCCAGACTTCCAGCAATTTTAAGCAAAGATAGAAGTGACCGTGGAAGCAACAAAATAGCACTTGGCCTACGTATTATCCGAGGACCAGAAACCCACAGACTCACAACCCATAGGCCCAGTTCCCCTGCTTTCTAACTCTCAGAAGCGCTTAGAGGCTGGGACGCTGGAGGCGGACACACCGACAGCCGCTGGCCATGAACCTGTGGCCCTGGACCAACAAGCATGTTCAGAACGGACACCGCTATTATGGCCCAATAAAGTCACTGCTGGTCCTGGTGAGAATCTTAAATGATAATAACAACAACCTGAAGAGTCCAACAGGCATAATTTTACCAATAACAGGAAAAAAAAATCTGTTAAACCATGTTACAATCTGACAAATGAAAACATATCTATATATCAGAAGTACAATAGCTTCCTTCACAATAGCCTCAAACTGTAAACAAAAAGAAAAAAAAATTCCATCAACAGATGAATAAATAACCTGCCATATTTCCATGTAATGAACTTACTACTCAGGAAGAGAAAAGAATGAACTACCGGCACACACAACGTAAGTGAATCTCAAAAATGGACTGTTTAGGCCAAGTTGCAGTGAGAGGGACCAAATTTACCTCCCTGCCCAAAACAACTAAAACACTGGACAAAGGAGATGAAACGAAGGTTCTGAGACACTGTACGCGAGGCTGTGTCCAAGCAGCACACAACTGTGGTCACTCCGGAAGGAGAAACAAAGAAGGGGGCCCTGTGATCGCTCCACTCACAGACTGGAGCGTTTCTAGAGCGAGGGCAGACGGGAAACGCAGATGCAGGCTGGAGTCTCCCGACTTGAGGGTTCACAGCGGGCGTTTGGGGAGGCCCAGGCAGCCAGGGCCCACAGGCCGCACAGAGGTCTGCAGGGGGTCTCCGCGCAAGTCCTCAGCTGCGGCCCCTCCGCGTGCCCAGGAGGGAACCACCACGGGTGGGAAAGAACCGTCTGAAAGGAGCAGATGGAACAGTTCTCAACGCTCACATGGAGCAGGAATAGCTTGAGTTCTTGAAATAACAGCAGACTTCTTCACAGTACAAAGAGAAAAACCTTCCACCTAAAATCCTATTCCCTGAAAAATTCCTTTAAAAAAATGAAGGCAAAACAAAACCTCTTCAAAGACACAAAGACTAACATAATTCATCATGAGCAGACCTACAATACAAAAAAAAAAAAGTTTTTAAAAAGTTCTCCAAGCAAAAGGAAAATATCAAATGAAATCTGGATTTACACATAGGAATAAGCAGCATTAGGAGTAGTATGTATCAGTAAATACAAACACATCTTTTCTTATTTAAAATTTGTGGGAAATACCTAAAGCAGTAAGTAGAGGGGGTTTTACAGCAGTAAAGGCCTTACATTATATGCCATGTTTTTGTTTACACTCAGTTCAAAATATTTTGTAATTTCCCTTGTGATTCACCTTTGACCCGTGGGTTACTTAGAAATGCACTATTTAATTTCCAAATATTTGTAGATTTTCCCAAGTATGCTTCCACCTTAAAACAGTAGGAAAAGTGGCCTTGGCCAGGGAGCTCTGTTGGTTAGAGTGTTGTCCCCGATTCGCCAAGGCTATGGGTTCGATCCCTGGTCAGGACACACAGAAGCAGCAACCAATGAATGCACAAATAAGTAGAACAGCAAATCAATGTTCCTCTCTCTCTGTCTCTGAAAAAACAAAACAAAACAAACAAACAAACAAAAAACCCCCAGGAAAAGCAAATGAAACTCAAAGTAACTTACAGAAAGGAAATACTAAAAATATGAAGAGAAATAATGAAACAGAAGACAAAAAGCAATAAGGAAAATCAATCAAACGAAAAATTGGTTCTTTGAGGTCAATTAGCCAGAATAATCAGGAAGGACTGAGAGAGGTGACATCACCAGAGTAATTGTATATTAACTTGCATTGATATACCAATATTAAAAGGATAATAAGTATTATGAATATTATACCAATATATCACCAATTCCTAAAGCTCATTGAAGAAAAAATAGATAATCTGAACAGGTCTATATCTATTAAAGAAATTAAATCTATTGTTTAAAAACCTTCCCACAAAGAAAAACTCCGGGCTCAGATGGCATCCCTGGTGAGTTCTACCAAGCAATTAATGAAAAAACCATCGACTGTTCTACACCAGCTCTTCCAGAAAATCGGAGGAAAGGGAATGCCTCCCAACTCGTTCTGTGAGGCCAGCACTGCTGACACCCAGACCGCACAAAGGCGCTACGAGAAAACGACACCACAGTTACCACGGACACAGATATAAAAATTGTTAGCAACATCTTAGCAAATCAGATCCAACTATATATATAATGTATTATGAGCAAGTAGGATTTGTCGCAGGGTAACAAGGTAGAAACCTTGATATCCCTTCCTCAACAGCTGGTAGGAGACAGAGACAGGCAAGGATATGGAGACGTTGAATACCATCAAATAAAAATAGCAGCTACAGAACACTCCCTTCAACACAGCAGAATATACATGCTTGTCATTTCATTCATTCATTCATTCAATTTTTTAATTGGACTTTATGGGGGTGACCCTGGTTAATAAACACAGGTCTTGGAATACAGTTCTGTGTTACCTCCCCTGTCTACTGTCCTGTGTGTTCACCACCCAGGTCAAGTCTCCTCCACGCCATTCACCCCTCTTCGCACTTTCCCGTCCACCCCCTCTACACACGTTCTTTTCAAACACACAGGAAACATCCTCCAGAGACCAGGCTCTAAGCAAACAAAAAAGGGTCTCAACTTTTAAAACACGGTAATCATACAAACTATGTTCTCCAACGACAGTGGAACTAAATTAGAAATACGCACTAGAAAGAAATTTGGGAAGCCCACAAAAATTTGGAAATTAAGCAACATTTTTCTAAGTCACCCATGGGTCAAAGAGGAGTCACAAGGGAAATTGCAAAATATTCTGAACTGAGTGGCAACAAAAACATATGAAAATTTATGGAATGTACCTTAAGCACAACTTAGAGGGAAATTTATAGCTTTAAATACGTATATTAGAGAAGACCTTAAAACAATAACCCAAGATTCCACTTTAAGAAACTATAAAAAAAAAAAGCCAACTATGTACAAAGCAACCAAGGAAGAAAGGAAAGTTTAGAGCAGAAATCAATGAAATAGAAAACAGATGAACAACAGGAGTAAAAAAGCACTAAAAGTCAAATTCATAGACAGAAAGTAGAATGGTGACTGAGGAGAGGAGAGAATGGGCAGTTGTTAATGGGCACAGAGTTTTACTTTTGCAAGATGAAGTCTTGAAGATTGGTTGCACAATAATGTGGTACTTAATACTACTGAACTCTACACCTGAAAAAACGGTTCGGCCCTGGCCAGGTGCTCAGCTGGTTAGAGCGTAGTCCAAGGTTGCAAGTCCAATCCCCAGTCAGGGCACATACAAGCATCAGCCAATGAATGCATAAATAAATCGAACAACAAACCGATGTTCCTTTCTCTTTCTCCCTGCCCATCCTCTCGCTCTAAAATGAATTTAAGAAAAAAACCCCACAAAACTGTCTAAGAACCACAGCAAGCAAATGCCTTAATTCTTACTATGGTGCTATATTCTAGATTTTGCTCAAAGTTACATGAGGTAAAGAAAGATTTCTGAGTCCTCAAGAAGAATATCTGTTTGGATAGTAAGTGTGATTTATGACATAATTTTACTTACAATTTCTTGTGTATGTAATGGAGACTGATGTTTGTATTTCTACATCAAAACTTGACAATCTCTTCCTGAATGTTGACACCCTGTCAGTGATAAAGATGTTCCATCCTTAACAAGATCAGGTCAGTTTCCAATAATCAAAAGAAGGAATGGATCGGTCCTCTGTGTTGCTTCCACCTCCTACTCGTTGCACATTTTCTCATATTAGGTCCAAGTCTAAGGGAAATCTCCTAGGTTTCTGTGTGCTTCACCAAAGGATGAATTAATTAATTAAAAAAAAAAAGTTACCAAAGATCCCCAAAACTCAATCAGATATCACTGCAATAGCAATTAAGAGTTAAGTGATCCTAAGAGATAGGAAGATATAAAAAGAATAGATGATTCTGCCAAGTCCTGACGTCATTTGATTTAGGCAGGAAAACAAAAAGTCAGAGTAATCCCATCATGGGGCTCAAACATGGATTTAATCACATTCTGGCCCATATCCATCAGTCATTAAGAATTCTCAGAAAGCAGAGGACGTAATTCCAAAAATTACATGTGAAAGGAACATAAAAATGATTTGGTGTGATGGACACATTTCCTTAGTGAGTAAACATTTTTGACCTTCCCCTCAAATAATTATGAACAGAAAAAAAAATACATGTAGTGTTAACATTTTAATGTTAAGGACTTTGTACATGTTTGGAATTTTAGTATTTGTAAAATTTAAGAGAATTTGGCCTATTACAGTATAGGTCAGGTTTGTAATTCCAATTTACAATGTATAACCAATTGTTGTAGATGTATTATTTTAATCAGAAAGTATGTTATCTATATAGTGTTGAAACATTTGAGAGAGCTTAAGAGCTCAGAATTTATAAAAATTACATGAATATTCAGTGGTGTTTGTTGAAAAACTGGTATTCTTAAAAAGGAAATTTTTAAAATTTAAACATTAAATGTAATGTCTTTAAGATGTTTAAGTTTGTATAACAGCCCAAATATTCAAAGGCCTTAAAAGTGATGGTTAAAATTTGCTAAGCTTTAAATAGATTTGTAAACTCATTCTAAAACCTTTAAGAACTTAGTCTTAAATTTTTAGCTTTTACAAATTGAGTATTTTTTTATTGCACAGATTTTATTTATTTATTATTTTTAGAGATACGGGAAGGGAGGGAAAAAGAAACGGAGAGAAACATCGATGTGCAAGAGATAGAAACATCGGTAATATATTGATTGGCTGCCTCTTGCACACCCCCCACTGGGGACCTGGCCGGAAACCCACGCATGTGCCCCGACCGGGAATCTCAGTGGCAACCTTTTGGTTGGCAGGCTGGCACTCAATCCACTGAGCCATACCAGCCAAGGCCAGTATTTTTTTAAATGATAACCCTAAATAGGCTTTTCTGCACTCAAAGGTCATCTCAATGGGCATCGAAAACCAGTGGTGTGCTAGAGCCATCCTGCTAAATTTTAAGGAATTCTGCAAGTTGACTGTTAAACAGTGTTATTTAAATTAGTACAACTAAATTACATTAAAAACAAAGGTAAAAAATGTTCTAAATTCATGAGTTCCTAATTATTTTACTATATTTTATTATCTCTGTTCTTAAGATTATTTTTTTCTGTATTAGTTATGAAGTAGAAATTACAATTGCATGCTACTGTATCTCTTCCTAATTCTACATTCAATAATGTCATGTCAGCAGCTTGAAATTAGCCCTCTTAGGGGTATTTACACCATAGAAATAGGCAATCTCTACAAATCAGAACTTCATGGATTAAGAAAAGTTTCAGGAAAATGGTTATCTGATACACCAGGAAAGGAGCCACACTCCAGAGGGAAGAAGACAAATAAAGGAGTATGTAACAGCTAAAGGAACTTTAAGAGATCACATAATATTCAAGGGCAGCCTACAAAGACTCAGAAAGAACACAAGAAAAGTTCAAAAGACAGTTAAACACATAAGGTTTGAAGAGAACAATGTTCACAGAGACACTGATATGAAATAGGTAGGAAAAGCAAATTGGGACAAACCAGAAACAGTGGGAAATGGCGGGCTGTAAAAAGACTGGGTCTTACAGCGAAGGCCTTTCTAGGAAAATGGGGAGCCACTGAAGGTTTGGAGGAGGAGAGAGATGAACCTGGCAATACTGCATAGGATGCAGTGAAGGTAATGAAACACTTTATTTTTGAAAACTGTGAAACAGACCCCCCAAAATTATATTACACGTAATAAAAGTCTTGAGTAAGGCATTAAAAATCAATTAGAACTCAAAGCTCAAAAGAATACATACTCTGTGATTCCACTGATACAAAGTGCAAACCCACCTATGTTGACAAAAAGCAAATCTGTGGCTGCCAAGTGCTGAAGGAGAGTCCGACCGCAAAGGGGCATGGGGACCTTGCAGGGGACAGAAATGCTCTGTATCAGGGGTGTCCCACCGCTGCCTGTGGGCCTCATGCGGTCCAGGATGGCTATGAATGTGGCCCAACACAAAATCATAAATTTACTTAAAACATTACTTAGTTTTATTACTTAGATATGTACATTTTCTATATTAGTGATCACAAACTTGGGACCTGCTCACCGATTTTAAAAGATTATTGAAAGGGCCAGTGCATAATTAGGGTGATTACATGAGGACTTTTTGGACTTATCTGTGGTGGCAGACATCACGAAAATTATGCACGGATCTTTTTTTACTCGTCAGTGTTCGTTAGTGTTTGTGTATTTAATGTGTGGCCCCAAGACAACTCTTCTTCCAGTGTGGCCCAGAGACGCCAAACGGTTGGACTCCCGCTCTCTATTGTGAGTGCGATGGTTGTATGTAACTGCAGGAACTTATCAAATCGTATACTTAAATGGATGTAGTTTATTGTACCAAACTATTCCTCTACGGACTCGATAAGAAAAAAGAAAAAAATTACAACTCAAACATATTCATCAGACATTTGATGATATGTATTTAGGCATAAGTGGAAAAGTTATGCAGTGACAACAATTTCAGAGAAGTACTTTCAGAGAAACCAAACTTCTACTTTCCCTTTTTTTCATGTGATGAGCTCTCAGTATCCAAAGTCACTGTCAATCCTTTGGCCCAGAAGTTTCGCACGGGTAAAAAACCTCAAGTCATTATTTTCCCTCGCCCCATTCCCATGCTATCCAACACCCCCCACCCTCCCGTCGTTTCCCCCTCACAACTGCTGGGCAGCTGTCCATTTTCTTGCTCTGTATAATGGGAATAAGATTACCGACCTCACAGGTATATAAAGCACTCTACACATAGGAAGAGCTCAAAATAGTTACTGTTTTGCCTTAATCATCTTCTACACATTTATGCCCCTGGAAGGCATAATCTCTCTTAATTACTTTTGCACTTTCTCTCACTGTATCTAGCATAGGGTACAATAAATAGTAGGCCCAAGATAAGTATTTTTTCAGAGCAATGTCTGGGGTACCCAGAAACTCACGTATAGATGAAAAAGACATTATACAACAAGGGAGATTCTGAAGTGTTATCTTAAAGACATAACCGTTTTTGTGCGACTTGAAAAGTATGATCAGTTATCACTGAAGGAATTAAGAAACATTTCTAAGAGAAGTTGCCACTGAGCTAGCTGCAGTCTGAAGGGGACTGAGGGGAGGCTGCATTATCTACTTCCTTAAATGGTACTTACAAATCCTGAGAAATAGGAGTCCAAGAGAGAAATCTTTAATAGTGACACTGGGAAAATTCTTAACAGCAAAATACTGTAAAAAGGCCCGAGGCAAGCAAAACCAGGCTCTGCCGACAGGCACACAGAAGATCAAAAGGAGCAAACTTTCCTAACGACTAAATAATCACAACAGCATCCCCAACACCACTTGGTATACGATCTGTAAGTTCAAGACGGAGTAAGATTTAAGGACAAAATCAGGAGATCTGAATTTCAAGACTCGTGTGCCACTAATATTGGGCGGTATACCCGAGGACTCTGAAGGCTGCCACCTTACTGCTAAACGGACTCGAGGGCAAGTATAGCAACTGTTCCAACTCCAGTCCGCGGCGGTCCAAGAAGTCAGGGCAGGCCGCTGGGGCCCAACTGTACTGGAACGGTTGCAACCGACAGAAAGTAGCAGGACGGCTTTTGTGGGGTCTACAACCGCCCTTCCGAGCATCCCAGCAACAGTAAACTGCTCAATCTAGTCTCCAGAATCCATCGGGAGCCGCTGCGACTGGGGAAACCCTGAGCTGGCCGCCTTACCAAGTCTAAAACAATAAGCAACTCCAACTCTCACCTACAAAGCGCCCTCCGATTTCCATTTGATCTTCTGCCTCAATGGGGTGGATGGAAGGTGAAGACTCAACTTCCCGCTCCGGCCCTAGAAGGCCCTGAATTAGCTAGGGGCTCAAAATAACAGGGGGCACACAAAGCGACCTCTGGCCTCAGATTCCACAAAGAGGTGGTCCAGGCGTCAGACTCGCTCGGGCCCTCACACAGGGGCCCAGAGGCCCGCAGGACTCGGCAGTGGCAACGTCGAAGGGAGAGGGGAGCCTGGAGAAACAGCGGACCGCCAACCTCACCTGCCGCTTGTTCATCCGCCGCACATCGTCCAAAAAATCTAGAGACACCATGGTGGGGACGGCGAGAGAGAGACCGGCGGCAGAGAGCGGAGCAATGTGACCGGCAGGCGGAACGACTGACGCCGGGCTGAGCTCGCAATGGACAAGACCCCCGCGGCGCCCTCACTTCCGCTTCCGGGGCGGCAACCGGCGCGGCCCGCCCCTTCGCTGAGGTGCGTGGACGAAAGAACTTGCGACTTTCGCAGTCCAGGCTCCCGGCCTGGCTTCGCTGTAGGAGGGCTCTCCCGCTTTGGACCTCGCCTGCTGAGAACCTGAGAACCGACCGAACCCACTTCTGAGCTCTGCCCTGCGACTACTCAAGGCGGGGTTTCAGGGAAAGCCATCCTGAAACTTCCGGAAGGCGGGCATTCGCGCACGCCTGGCCAATGGGAAGCCAGCCTCCGGCGTCTGAGGGCAGAAGCGGCTCCTGAGTGGCCGGCGCAGTTGAGCGCTGGTCTGGGTGTGGCACTAGACGTGTCGCTCGGCCTCACAGTCTAAGGGAACTGACAGCTGGACTGGTTTCGTAAGTGCTTTTCCGGTAAAGGTGAAGGGTGCCAGAGACGTTGAAAGCACTACCTGAATCTCTTAAGTTTAAGAAATTCTTGGTTGGACAGAAAAGTCCGGGACGATTAGAAAGCAACCGAACCATGAAACAGTGTGATAACACCAGTGGTATGAGTCATCAGGTTTCTACCTGAACTTGACCTCGTTTACGAGATCTGACTGCCGCCTTGAACTTTACCTCCTGCACCTTGATGTGACCCTTCTCTCGCTGCCTTCTGTTTCGCTATGCTATCAACAGCCTTTGCTTTGACTAGCTGAAGCTCCTGATATACATCTAAGACAAGAAGGACCTGCGCTGGTCTCTTGCTATTATTTTATTTCTATCTTTTTCAAAATACTGTTTGTCTCATATTGGGGGACAAGCACTTCTTACTAACCTGTTTACCCCCCAGTGTCTTACATGAAATAAACACTCAAAAAAATGTCAAATGAATGAATGGAGGTCTTAAAACCCAGAAAGCCCAGACCTCCCAGACAAATGCATCAAGCGAGACTCTAAGGATAGGATTATCTTCACTAAGATCCGTGGGGATGTTGGCTGGCAACGCTCGCTCAAGGCTGAAAGGGAATTCATCAAATTAAAAAGCAGAAGATAATAGCTGTAGTCCTCAAAGAGCTTTCAGTATCACTTGCAGCAGGGAAAAAAAAAGTATCTTTATGAAAGGAGACAACACATTAAGGTATAACTGCTAGCCTATCCATGCTATAGAAACTCAAAGAGAAAGAATCTTCCAGGCATGTCAGACTTCTGAGGGAAGTTAGTCAAGGAGACTTCTGAGGGAAGCTGGGCCTCAGTTGGGCCAGCTTTGCGTTATAAAAGAGGAAGCATAATGTCGAGCACAGACTAGAAATGGGGTTAGGTGTGGGGATAACACTCAGGCTTCCTTTCTGGTAGCTTACACTGTTGAGAACAAGATAGACTGAGTGAGAAATAATTGGAGAGAAAAGAATGCATTAGGACGGAATAGGTCCGGGAAGGATTAATATAGACTGGGTAGATCTGGAAAGGCTTAATGAGATTCTCTGAAGTGCAGGGGAGGAAACAGCATCTCTTATGAAAATAATTCAGATATTTAGGACAGGTGATCCCAGACTAGATAAAGACATAAAGCCTAAGGAATTAAATTTTCCAAATGTGGGACTCTGACATGCTATTTTCTCTGTTCACTGGGCTGCCAATCTTCCCAACACATAAGTCGTTTGGACCCCAACAATCACAATGGCAATCTGGTATTTTCCTTCATATATAGACTGCTGGCCTGCCTAAAGGAGGCACCTTATTATAGAGATTAAGTTAGACCTACTTGGCTTTGAATCACAGATCAACCACTCACTAAGCTGTGTGATCTTGAGCCAATCAGTTACCTCTTTTTTACCCTCAGTTTTCTGGTGTGCAAAGTCAGAATAAAAAATAATTTATGTCACTTGAAGATTAAACAAGTTAGTACACGTTCATTCAGCAGTTGGCACAATCGATGACAAATGGTGAGTGCACACTGTTAGTAGTCATCGAAAACAAGAAATGGATTCAAACTGATATCCACACACTCAGGGTTAAGAAAGTCTGTCATTATAGTTGAGCCCTGGTTAAGGGTGTCTACCAGCAGAAGCAAAGTGGACTCCATTTTTTAAAACGCTGCACAAAATAACCATGATCTCACCAGTTTCTTCTTGTCCTTCTGAATGAAGGAAATGGTGGGTAGAAAGAAGGTCCCCTTATGACCCTGCTGGCAAAGGAAGTGGCCCAGGTGTATCAGGGCAGGTCAGTGCACAGGCCACACTGGAAGCTTCGTTCTTCCCTGGCACCATTTCTGCAAAGGATCCCATCTACCCTGACCCCCCAAGGTCAGATCAAGAGCTAAAGAAATGGGACTGTTTGCCTACCAACCCAATAGCTTTGGACATCAGAGAGCATGGTTTTTTAAAATGCAGCAGTTCTAAAACAACTCTGGAACATTTACACAATGGAATACTACTCGGCCGTAAAAAAGAAAATTTTACCTTTGGAAACAGCATGGATGGACCTGGAGAACATCATGCTTAGTGAAATAAGCCAGTCAGAGAAAGACAAGGAGCACGTGATTTCACTCATATGTGGAAGAAATGGAACTGACAAGGAAAAAGGGGGCAGACTCAAAGATGGACGGCAGGATGACAGCTAGTGGAGGCGGGGTGGGGCTCAGGGGGTAGAGAGAGCGAGCAAAAAGGAAAAAGGACTCAAGGACATGGACAATAGTGTGGTGATTGCTGGGGGGAGGGTGTAAAAAGGGACTAAAGGTAATGTACACAAAAATACGATAAAGATTACATAAAAATAAAAATGCAGCAGCTCTAACATGGGGTATCAGGAAGAAATTTCATTCCCCAAAATCAAAAGTGTCTTCTGCAGAGAGATTACTAGAGTCACTGAAGCCTCCCGGGAAGACTTTCGGAGAGCCCCCTTCAAAAAGTCATGGACAGCTGCAGGGGCTGCTGGGGGCGGGAAGCTCCAGCCTCCTGGGTTGGTGCGTGTAGATGTGTTGGGGGGCGGGAGCCACCCATTTCCTGTTCGGCCATTCTGATTCGGCTAGAGGAAGACAGGGGCCTTGCTGTTTGTTTTGTACGTTCGTTCGTAGACAGCAGAGAGCTCTGTGGTGAATCTGGGAGTCCTGTGGGGGACCGGCCGGCAGTACGCACAACCTTAGTCTCTCCCCTGTAACTGGAGCTTCCACCTTCAGTGAGTGGTGACTTGCCTTTTGGACTTTTGCATTAAAGCTTAATGACAGGGGACTGGCCCCTCCTGATAGCCTAAGGGATCCTATGGGAATCTGTTGAGGCAATGAATCCTGCAGGAAATGTGGCTTGTGTTAATCCGGATTTGAACATAATGTTCTCTTAACGCAACCACATTCAAATACGCGATCATCAGCAATCATTTATATGTGCACTTAAGCAATAAAAAACATTTACCTAAAGGCTACTATGGTGCTTGTGTTGAGAAGGTATGATGTGGCCACCGCCTGCCTCGTGAATTCACTCCTGACTCTCCTCACCAACCCCTCACCCTGCCGCCCGGGGCATATGCAGCCCCAGGATATGAGGGGGCGCAAAGATGTGAGCTCTGGGGCGAAGCTGCTCTACCCCTTAGAAACTGTGATGCTAGACAAGTTACATTTCCTTTCTGTACATCAGTTTCTTTATCTGTAAACAGGGATTGTGGTCTCTAGCAGTTTTTCTGGACCTCAAGTGAGGTAAGAATGTAAACTACTCGAGTAGAGCCCGACGCTTCACAAATAATGGTTATGACATGAATGTCCTTCTGAGGATGGAGAGCAAGGAGCTAGGAAAATTCGTTGGCAAGTGCAATGGGGAAACTGAGACAACGGCTGATTCAAATTGGCCCTGTTCACACCGTGACTCACCTGCCCCCCCCCCCCCCCCCCCGCCCCGTGCAGGAATGAAGCTGGGACCCACATCAAATACTCCTGGGAGCAAAGCCTGGGGTCTGCTGACCTCAGAGGCACAGCTTTGATCAAACCCGAGATAACCTCGAGGCCTCAGTGGTGTTTCAGCTCCAGGCCCAGAAAACCAGCAAAACCAGATGACGCAAAGCCGGGGCTGACAGGAGGACCAGATGCAATGACCAATGACCCGTCGCCCTAGCTCTGGCCAATCGTTAGAGACCACGACTCTGAAAGGACACACTTGGAAAGCTGATGACTATTCCATTGGGATCCTTCCCTGAAACCACCCCTAAAATTCCTGCTTTAGAAAACAGATAAAAACCCATGAGGCAAAGGGCCCAGTGTGCCCACGCTCTCTCTAGAGCAGGCCTGTGCCTCTCCACCCCGTGTTTCTTAATGCACGTCTTTGCTTTCTCCAAAGGCCCTTCTTTTGCCTCTGTAATTTGTTTCCTGAGTCCAGGCAAGCCAGACGGCTCACTTCTTCTTCCTCTGTGACTTTCCTTCTAAAAGGCCAAGGCAGCCATGCCTAGGCTCACTCCTATTGCTGTCACCTTGCCCCTTCTGACTTAAGCCCTTCCTCTGTTTCACTGTCTCCGCCTTCAGTGAATGTACTCTCAAAATCTCTTGGACTCACGTTGTAAAATCTCTCCTGCAAGAAGTCAAGAACTGGGAGCCCACGTCACTACTACTACTTCCACCTGTTTAAGTGTCATCTTCTGTGTGAAGCCCACCCAGGTCTCCCCTGGGCAGAGCTACAGCCCCTTCACTAGGTCCACTTCTGTAGTTTATATGTACTTTTCTACATCCTTTATCACATGGACCTTCGAGCGTGTTCGATTTTCTGTATCAAATCATCAGGCATCAAATGAGACTCGACATAATCTGAAAAGAAAATGATCACTATGCAAGAGATTCTTGCCTTTATAAAGAACAGCTCGTTAACCCATTTGAGTCTGGCACTAGTGAACTAGTGAACTAGCGAACTGAACTGGTGAGGGAATATTTTTGAGGTAAATATTTGAGTACTTCCTGGGCTGGGCCTGCCCATTCCAGATTTGTCAACATCCTGCCTTCCAACTCCCATCCGTAAGCAGGCTGCCAGAGAATAAGACTTACCAGCCTGACCTCTC